TGGGCACATACGGATGGTGTAACTGCAGCGATGAGCGTGATCACCGGGGTTTTTTGCGTTATGGTGAAAAGCACACAGATTGTCGGGCCTGTGGGAAAGCCCTGCTTTCGTTTTCGAACGTTGCCCCAGGATCGATATCCTTGGGGGCTCGCGCGAAACGGACGCGCCACGGCCGTTCGTACCGTTTCCGCGATCGCGATTTTAGTTTAATACGTTTCGTAAGGCAGCTGGTTGAATTTACGGATGAGAAACAATTTTAAAAAAAAAGAAAAAAAACGGTGCTTTGTCAAGCTTCACGGGCTATCGCAAATATATCTGTCTGCGTGTGGTCACGGAACAGTTCCGTCTCGAGTTCAGTCAACAGCGAGCGACAAATTTCCATCGAGAGCTTGCAACGTGTACACGGAGAATGAAAATAAGTCGGGAATTGGCTACGCGGTGGCCGCATAAAAAATGCAATAGTCCTCACCGTATCAGTTAGATTGCTTGGGGAAACACCGTGGCGAGTTACTGTTAAGTGAAAATTGGGTATGCAAGATGTTTCACAAGTTTCTACAGTCTTCAAAGAATTTTAAACATTTCGCGACTCGTTGCTGTAGGATGACCAATTGCAGTGTCCTTGGTTCGTTTTCGGGTATAATTAAATTGATATTTATTGGAAAAGATGTACTAGATTTTCTGTATTCTTTTATTATCTTTATTTTTTAATAAAAAAATGTAATATGTCTTCTTTGATAAATATACAGGTAATTATGCCCGATAACAAACCAGAGGCACAACAATTGGTCATCCCACAGTAACCAATTCCAGTACTCCACATTGTACGCTTGGCGTTTAAGGGGGTATTCTATTGTGAATCTTTGAAAAACTCGACTTTTTCTAACATTTTCTTGAAGAATAGAGGAATGGAACCAGTTACTGCGAGGCGACCAATTGCTGTGTCTTTAGTTTGTTTTCGGGTGTAATTGACTTTATATTTATCGAACAAGAGATATTATATTTGTTCATTAAAAAATAATCAAAATGAAAGAATAACAAAATTTAATACGTCCTCTTCGATAAATATAAAGTTAATTATGCTCGAAAACAAATCAAAGATACGACAATTGGTCACCCCGGCTTCGCTACTGGTAATCGGCTTCACTATCCTATAGGTTCGAAAATACCTCTACAAAACTTTGTATCTGAATTCTCAGAATTCAAAAAGATCAACTATTTAGTGGACGCAACGAAAAATCGGTTAATTACTCGTTATAACCGTGCTATATAAAACATTATATTCGTTTTTCCCGAAACGGTGCTCATGATATCACAAAAATCTACTTTATCATTTGCCTTTAAAATGTATGTGCACATTCACTATACTTATGCCTATAAACCGTACTAGAAACAACCCTAAATTTTAGGGTTTAAATTACAAATTACACAAAGTGCAGCTATTTTTCCAATTTTCTTTTGTTTCAGTACCAGCTATAACTAAACTCATATTGATTAAGAATTTATATGTTTTTTTCGCATTTTAGTAAGCAAAATGGCCGCAATCATCGATACAAGATCATCAAGGGACGATCTTTCCCAAATTTAACTGTGCTTGAGAGTATTCGGTGCCGCTAATTTTAACATTCTTGAGCTTAAAAAATTGTTAAATGTTATTCAAACACATGTAAATAAACATCTACATTCACAAAAAAAGACACAAAGAAAGTTAAACGAGATTTAACTTTTTTTTTTACACTAGAATACCCCTTAAAGAATGATTGTTCTGGTAAATCATTTTGGAGACAAAGAAATTGGTTTATGGAAGATGTTCACTTGTTAAACAGATCCGAAACGATTTGTGGTAACTGTCGGATTTAGTTCTTATTCGATTACTTAAACCGCTATTCGACTATTCATTCCTTCTCATTGACAGAGTACACTTGCAACACTGTATACATTCGGGAGTAACCAGTTGGCTGGCTGCCAAAAGTTTGTGTAACACATTCGGAAGGAATACGGTAACCGCTCGTGAATGTCAAAGATCGTTCATGAAATTTCGATCGAACGGATCGAGTCTTGTAAGTATACATCCGCACCATACAGGCTTCCAATAATAACTGGAATTATGAAATGGCCGTGCATCGCGCGGTCTTAACACGGGGCTCCTAAACCATCGACATTCCAATTGCTGCAGAATATTCGAATAACCAAAATATGATCCCTAAAGTTGGTACTTCATAACACGATAGTGGAATTTTCGCGATAAGCAATTTAATATCTTTGCGAAAACGTTTAAATGTGTTCGTCTGTATCGTCAGTCATTTTTAAAGTACCGAAAGGTGACAGACTTTAATTTATTTATGTCAGAAATATTCGTTTACCTTTATTAACATTCACTCTTCTTGGAAAGGGAGAAGTCGTCGATCGAACCGGAAGAAAACAATGCACCGCGTCGATAAAAAAAAAGAAAGAACGAACAGCAAAAATTGCAGAACTTTCCCACATACCCGGTGAGACGACAAGTTAAGGTGATGCTAACGACTCAGTTGCGCAACGATCATTTCAATGCTGTTTCTCACTGGGACTCGTGTTATGTACTCATGAATATGTGCAGTTGCGGTTGCATTAATGAGAAAGTCGATTAGAAAGAGTGAGACTGTGTTTGTGTGCGTGGCCCCACGTACTACCTTGCCCCTGCGCCAGAACTGATAAATTTATCACTCTTGCGTCAGGGTTGATAAATTGTTAACCTTCATCACGATGAAAATTATAAGATTTCATTTCCTTTCCCTTCCAGAAATTGCTCAGACACAGGTGTTAGTCAATTTATGAATGGAAACACATGATTAGAAAATGTCGGTGAACGAATTTACGGATACTTCGTTCGTCACTGGAATTATCACAAATTTCAAGTTTTTATCTGATATTGCGCGGATTCGATCATATTTTCCGTTTACTCGGATATTATCGTAAACATCGTAGAAATTCGTGTTTCCTCCGGGATAAATTAAGACTCGATATGATCAATATTATACGTGTGATATCAGTTGTTTAATGTTTCATTGAAATTAGCCAAAGAAAAATTTGAGCGATCCTTATTTCTACAAGGTGTTCCTTTGATATTCGTTTACGTGTCCCACTTTTTATATTTTTAGAGCTACCACGCGTGCAGCTTTTTCTTTACGAGTGAAACGACGCATATCGCTTTTATTCTGCGGATCACCCTGTATGGAGAAAGAATTCCAGCTGAGGAAGGAAATTCCCGTATAATGAAAACCGCGAGGTACAGTATGTGACACAGAATCTGACTCATTCGTCTCTCCGACCCAGCACGTTTATACCAAATAACAAAACTATCGAAATACAAAAGAAAAACATACTTTGAAAGCGTTTCAGCTATTCGACTAGAAGCTTGTGCTGGGAAAGAGGGAAGGAAGGAATCACTGGAACCAATCCTGTGTCACGCACTGCACGTACAGAGTGTCACAAATCACGCGGCCATTCGAAACATTTTTAATATCGGACGAAACCGAATAATCAGCGATGTTGAACACACTGGAAATACAATTGTCGTGATCGATAAAAAATTCTGCGCGCAATCTATTTTCTGAAATCTCCAAATTTCTGTTACCGATGTGTCGTGTCGTGACAATGTCAGGCTATACAGCTCGAGATATTCTCTAACGATCGTAAGATTTCATTCTCGATCGTACAAACCGATTGAATAATTTTTCCAGGGTACGTTTAAATGGCCGTTAACGATTGTTACACACTGCATAGCACGAAGAAGAAACACTAAACTTAAAAATCTTAAAGAAGTTCAAGGTATACACGGTGCTCGCGTAATTTCTAGCCGACTTTCTTTTCGTGAATGGCGAAACGCGTGGAAGAAATGGAAACGTAAACACCGTGCCAGTTTATCATACCTTTCGAACAATAATAATATCGATCTTTAAAAGACGTCGAATGATGATTACTTTCAAGTCTGATCAACTTATAGCGTTGAAACGAACATGTTCGCTTACTTTGTATAAACGAAGTAATCGTACTATAAAAATGATAATCTCTAAGATATTTTGAAGGTACAACTGGACTTGGAATATTTGCGGTATTTTACGTTTTTAAGAAACAAAGTCTGAAAACGTAACAAGCGATGTTACTAAAAATTTCAAATAAAAAGTCTTCGAGATATTAGATGATTAGTAATTTACCTTTTGGACTGCCGGCATGATGCCGTATGGCGTCACTAATATTGTACCGTATTTTCGAGAATTGGTAATTCTCTTTTACCTGACTCGTTTTGTAGGAAAAAATATTTACTAAGAAAAATTATTTACGATGCAGTCTACATCATCTAACAACATATTAGGTTTCCTAAACAATTTTGCTCACAAGTCCGCGAATCAGATGACAGAAAATTACCTATTCTCTAAACTACGACGTCATGCCAGTAATCTAAAGGTGAAAACAAAGTAGAAAAAAAACATATACAGTTTTCCCTCCGTAACAGTTTCTCTCCTTCGACGTCGCAGTCTCCCACCACTCCCTCGTGGCGCATCAACCGTGAGGCAGCGGCAAGTCAGCAGCAAATCACCGACCCACGAGGGCGGAGTCCAAACGCGTTCCCACTACTGGCGGGCGTGTCGCCGTGCACTTAGCGGCGCGACGCTACGGAGAGAAAATTGTACGAACCGTTTACGAGAAGAACGTCGAGCCGGTAAATTACGCGAGCATCCTGTACACCAGGCCTGGACAACCAGTGAGTGACTTGCGAGCCGCATACGACTTCTTCCGTCACTGCTCCGCGATCCCCATGATGACGATGTTGCCCAGGCCTGCTGTATGCACGACAGATGGATGCGTAAAAGACAGACCCGATCGCTTCGGAAAGTGTAAGCTCGAGTCGCAGCCGTGTATTCCCGAATGACAACGCGTTAGGCGTCTTAGGTGACGCGCGAGTGTTCGGGAACCGAAACGACCGTTATGGTTGTTATCATCCTGCCTTGTGGTCCGTCGCTTACCAGTGTCGACGATGACGTCAATGAGGTCCATGCTCTTCGCGAAGGCGTCCCTCAGATTGATGTGATGAAAGGACACGATGCTGCCTTCCCGTTTGGCCCTCTCGAGCGCCTCCCGCCTTTTGAGGGCCTTCTCGCGTCTCATCTGGTTCTTGTAGAACTCGGCGAAGTTGTTTACGATAATGGGAATGGGCAACGCGATTACCAGGACACCACATATACAACACACACTGCCGATCACCTTGCCGAGCGGGGTCGTGGGGTAGATGTCGCCGTATCCGACGGTAGTCATCGTGATGCCCGCCCACCAGAACGTCTCTGGAATGCTTACGAATTTGGTCCCGGGCTCCTCCTTCTCGGCGAAGTAGGCGAGGCTCGAGAATATGAGGACGCCCATCGCCAGGAAGAGCATCAGCAGGCCCAGCTCCTTGTACGAGTTACGTAGCGTGAAGCCGAGGCTCTGCAGCCCGGTCGAGTGGCGGGCCAGTTTCAGAATCCTCAGGATCCGCATTATACGAAAGATTTGCACTACCCTGCGCACGTCCTGGAACTGGTCGGTCGCGTTCTTGTTCGTCTCGACCAGGCATAGGGATACATAATACGGCAGTATCGCCAGCAGATCGATCACGTTTAGACCGCCTTTGAAGAACTTCCACTTGTCCGGCGAGGCACTGAACCTAAGCACGTACTCGAGGGTGAACCATGTGATGCACACGGCCTCCACGATGGCGAAATGCGGATTGTCTTGAATGTTCCCCTTCTCATCATTCACTTGCATACTAGGAATGGTGTTGAGAGTTAGTGCGATCGTCGAAAGCACAATAAAGAGTATTGATATCACTGCTATCACCTGGAAAAGCGACGGGTCAACCGGTCAAAGTCGGAGTCATCGCTCGTGATGGAACCGCCGTCACCGGCGATTCTTGTCTAACATTATATCAACGACATCAACTCTCTCTCTCTCTTTCTCTCTCTCTCTCTCTCTCTCTCCCTCTCTTTCTTTCCCTCTCCCTCTCTAACGATCTGTCGAAAAGACGGGCGAAACATCACCCTGGTCCTCGTGCTATTACACAATTTCATGTGGCAATCAATCAAAACCATGGACTGAAACTGGCGTGTGGGTGGAAAGCGATTTGCTTCCATCAAGAATACAGAGCGACGATCGATATAGGGTTCCGCGATCGAGACGAAGAACATGCTCCAGCGAAGAATGCTGGTTTTCATCGACGACGTGATCATTGTTTCAATTCCAAAGAAAAACGGATCCTGTGGGAACGAGCACTGGCTTCTGACGATAATTCTGGGCGATACACGCTCACAATACGAGTCGTTCGATCGTTCGAACGAGAACGACTGTCCGTTCGGCTGATTGCTGGCCTAAGCAACAACGGCTACCACAACAGAGTAAATACCAGAAGCTCTCACTGCACGGAAGCGTTCAACAACTATAAATACCGAAACAAAAACGTTATACACCAAAATACACAAATACTTCACCGTGAAAACAGGAACAGAAGCGTACGATAGACATTGTTCTTTTCGTTTTCTATAATTCTTTTTTTTCTTTTGGTTTTACAAAGTACGAAACAATGTAAAAATATACAGGAAGCAAGCAACAACTCTGCGTACGTAAAGAAGCTCGTGACAACTCGAACAGCGACGACGATAGAGAACGCAGGATAATTGCGATCAAAGAGTTCAGCGGAGACGCTCGACGATGTCCGGACGATGGGACTTGGCCTCGGGTCGACGACAAAACGCGACCGTGCTTGAAAACCACGTATCGGAATCCTCCGATACGGATCACCAGACGACACCTCTGAACGACGTCGAAAAAGAAAAAAGATAACTAAGGAAAGCAGGGAGCACAATGCGGACTGCTATAACGTTCTAGAGCATTTTCCGCGAGACTGTAGGCCAACGGTGATCTCAGAGTCGCTGAAAACTGCCATAGAATCGTATAGGACGCACAGAGATTCGCACCAAGGGGTATCTCGTCGTTTGATGGCTGTCTGCCCGACGTCGCTCGACTCATTTACAAGTTTGTATACCTGGCGGAAGATACGTGTACAGCGACCTGGCTCGGGATGCGATTTAGGGATAATGTTGTTTGCTAAGCGCGATTTCGGTTACCGTCTCTTGTTCGGTCACCGGTATAGGTGTGAACGAACTCGTTGGGGCACGGAGCCCCTGTCCATCCAGGTGTTGTTAAAATGCTTAAGGCAGTCCATATGTTTGCTGGTGATAACCTGAAGATTATCTGCTTGTCGGACTTGTGTTTTCGGAGCAAAGTTTTATCATTCGTTACACTTAGATCACTGTTGAAAGGGGAAATTCGGATAATTAGCTTGTTAAAACTGAGAGATCGAACGAATGCGTAGATATACGAAATGTTTGTGCTTCTTTCGTTGAATACGAGACACTTTTTTATCTTGTATGCAATAGTATTGTTATTATTTAGACGTTGGGTGGGGTCGATAGGAAAATTAAATTGATTCTTATGTTACTCGATCATAGTGTATCGTCTAAGATGTTTCACATGATTTTCTAAAATGTATCAAACATTCAAACAATTAATTTAAGCAACGTTACCAGTTTACGGGAGAAATCGTGACAGAAGCATCGAAACTGGAGAACCATTGGAACAAGGACACAAGAACGTGGTTCTTATTGTGTCCAATGATTTTATACTCAACTGTAATCCTTCAGACGTTTAATTTAAAAGCCGCGACTTTAGGACCCCGCGAAAAATTGCTGTTGCAGGGAATGTATTCGATTGAAACGGGGAACAAAGAATGATCAGGTCGGTATCTGGGATTCTACAAAGTCGCCGTGTTTCTTCCGCCAAGTACACATTGTTCGGCATGCGTATTAACACATTCTGTTTCGTCCCTTCAAAACCCCGCTCCCTTTTTTATCCACCCTCGAGCAAACCTACGACGCCCAACAGCTCGTAGACCCTGTACCCTGGCAGGCTGGTTGCAATCGCTACAAAGCGAAATCAATTCGTCGCTTCCGAGATAGTTAGCAAAAAACCTTTCTTCAAACAGAAAGAAACAGGCGCTCGCATCGCGTGATTGGAGTGCGGGTGATAAGTAACGGAGACTCGCGGCCCGGAAGCGGAGCGGCAGCCATCTTGGGGAACGATCTGGCGAGCGTTCAATTAACCCTTTGCAGTCGAAGCTATTTGAATTCGAAATCCAAAACATAATTTCTGATCTACAGTATTTCTATTTTATATAATTTATCGCGACCCATGCGTATGAAATTGGGCCTATTGGCAAGTACAATGCAATTTTAATAGTCTTTTTTAAAGTATAAACGAGTTTGATGCTCTTCGAATGATTTTGAAAAATAGCATATCAATTTTTAGTGGCGCCTCAGAGCCGCCATTCGAGTGCAAAGGGTTAANCGGCATGCGTATTAACACATTCTGTTTCGTCCCTTCAAAACCCCGCTCCCTTTTTTATCCACCCTCGAGCAAACCTACGACGCCCAACAGCTCGTAGACCCTGTACCCTGGCAGGCTGGTTGCAATCGCTACAAAGCGAAATCAATTCGTCGCTTCCGAGATAGTTAGCAAAAAACCTTTCTTCAAACAGAAAGAAACAGGCGCTCGCATCGCGTGATTGGAGTGCGGGTGATAAGTAACGGAGACTCGCGGCCCGGAAGCGGAGCGGCAGCCATCTTGGGGAACGATCTGGCGAGCGTTCAATTAACCCTTTGCAGTCGAAGCTATTTGAATTCGAAATCCAAAACATAATTTCTGATCTACAGTATTTCTATTTTATATAATTTATCGCGACCCATGCGTATGAAATTGGGCCTATTGGCAAGTACAATGCAATTTTAATAGTCTTTTTTAAAGTATAAACGAGTTTGATGCTCTTCGAATGATTTTGAAAAATAGCATATCAATTTTTAGTGGCGCCTCAGAGCCGCCATTCGAGTGCAAAGGGTTAACTCCGTTTCCTTCCGTACAATTTCCATCGCCGGTGGCAACGAAATTCGGATGCGTGGCTTCCGATGCTCGACTTCCGAGCGCGTTGCGTCTCGATCGCAATTTTACAAGCGGAAACGTGGACGAGGTAACAGGTAGACAAAATGGCGGCCGGCGCGCACGCAGTCTCCCATGCAATAAACTGTCGATGCGTTCTGCCGCGAATACAATAACGGCGGTTTCTTTGTTAGTGGAAAACGTGGCTGGCTCTGTACATAGAATGTGTCCCACCAATCTCGTCTGTACATAGAACGTGTCCCAACAATCTCGGTCTGTACATAGAACGTGTCTCACCAATCTCGTCTGCATATCTACATTGCGGCAAGTGGAATATTAGGGCTAATCTTTACTTTAAGGGTCCAGAGATTTTTGGCTCTTTTATGTATTTTCGCGAAGATTTTGTCGAGAAAACACGAAAAATTCAAGCCTCAAGGTGCGCAAACTATTGGTTCAAAAGTTATACGCGTTCGAAGTTGACGAATTTCAAGCATTTTTCCATACGCGGCGCCGTTAGATGGCAGGACAAGCATGACTGAGTAGCCATTTTGGCTAATCTTTACTTCAAAGGTTATGTGAAGGTTAGAACGCGTATAACTTTTGAACGAATGGTTTGCGCATCCTGGGACTTGGGAATTTTTGGAGCTTTCTCGACGAAATCTATCGATAAAGAGCCGAAAATCTCTAGACCCGTAAGGCAAAATTTAACCAATATTAACCACAAGAATTGTTTGATCGCAAGAAATGTTACATTCTCGAGCGAAAATGTAGAGTCAATCCAGTGGTTAATTTTTATTTCTTCTTAATATTTAACCCTTAACTTCTGTCAATTTGGGTCACGAGCGACCCTAACATTGTATTTCTATTTTATTTTTGGAACAAAATTAGAATTATATTTGTTATAATGCATAACTAAATATTTTATATATATATATATATATAATCCATTATATTTTTATAATAGTTTTAATTTTTATAATAATTTTTATAATATATACATACTTTATTATTTGTTATTTATATATTATATAATCTATTATAAAAATATAATGGATTATATGTAAGTATAATATGTATATAATAGGCAAATAAAAATCTAATTTTCCACGTCTTTAACATTGTATACATTAGCTAAGAATCAAATATCCAGAATTAGATTAACAAATCTTTTTTTCATCTTTTATTTGGGGTCTATCATGACCCCAATATATTAAATGGGTTAAATTCAATTTAAGAACAATAGTTCAGATCTCGTTTAGACTTTCACTTACGAGAATTGCCGCTATGTATTTTTCCCATAACCGAACAGTTTTTAATTTAATTTGTTATTCAGAATGAAGTAGATATCGTATTTAAGATTACAGAAGTTGGTGAGACACTCTGTATTTGAACAGGTAAAATTGTAAACTAGTGTCGATTACTTGCATCGGCGCAAGCGTGTGCAGGATAGAGGTTTTTGTTGCAGAAAGCTGTGTAATGCGACATTTTGGTGGGTACAATTAGCTCTGTTAAGTGGAGAAAAGGAAAGTCGTACTGTGGGATCGGGAGGCTAGTGAGAAATTTCGGGAGCTGAGGAAACTTTGGGTGATCAGAATGAAATTAGCGGGTGAAGCTGTCTTTGTGCACTTTCATGATCGGATAGGGATTGTATCGTACAAAATCATTTCGTGTCACCGAAATGATTAAACATTAATTAATTAAGCATTAATTGACTGTAGAGCAGAGCTGGTCAAAAGGTAATTCGATTAATGATTGACGATTATGGCTAACGTGAAATCATGTTCACGATTAATAATTACCACTACTAAGTAATCAAGTAATCATGATTAATGCATAACTTAAGTGATTGAAGC